TTCTCCACAAAGCTTCACAGGATAACACACCTGAAACACTCGCTACCTGACCTTCAACAACGAGCATTTTCTTTCTCCTGGGTTTGAAAGAGATTCGTTGGAATCCTTCTAGCGAGGGCTAGAAAAGCAAGCAGCTGCTGGATTCCGAGGAAAGGTTAATGAAGAACTCCCCTGCAACGTGAGCAACCCATACACTACACCAGGAAATTCAACAGGTACAAACTCCCGATTTCTGGAAGTTTTCGGAAAATGAGCATTTTATCCGATACAATCACTGAAGCCACGTAAACACTGTCTCTGCTTGTTTATTACGACAAGACCGACTAGGAAAAGCCTGGGCCGGGTCCTGCCCGGGAAGAGGCCCCGGGAAGGAGCAGGGCACCCGCACAGCTCAGGTGAGCACAGGGGGAGCGTCGTCTGGACCCCGGTGTTCGAAAGCTCCAGGACAGCAGCAAAACGGATAAACAAACTAAGGCAGTTTAGTTATATACACACAGAATATGCTGAGTTTGGAAGGGACCCATCGGGGTCACCGAGTCCGACCCCCTGTCCCTGCACGGGGCACCCCGGCAATGTCACCACGCGCCGGAACAGCAACGTAGCTACGAAAATCCCCGCTGTCCACCGAAAAACCCGGAAAAACCTCGGGAGAAGCCGCCTCCTGCCATCTCATCGCGTGAGTCTGCAGGACGCGGCAGCGAAAGCCGAGGAACGGCCCGGCCGCGGCCCCTTCTGGGACGGTTCTGTGGGGGGAAGCCTTTCTCGAAGCGGGAGGGGACCGAGCCGGGGGAACTTTGGGGGGAACTTCGGGGGGAACTTCGGGGGGAACTTCTCCCTCCTCCTCCCCCCCCACACGCCCGCAACCCCCCGGGGTGGGGCCGCCGCCGCCGCCTCCTCCGCCGCCGCCGCCGCTCACCCCCAGATGACGTAGTTGGTCTTGACGTTCTTGGGCCAGGAGAACTCTCCGAAGATCACCTCGTCGCCCTTGACCACGATCTCCTTCTTCTGCGTGTTGTACTGCCGCAGCACGCTCAGCACGTCCGCCATCTTCGACCGCCCGCTCCGGCTCCCGGCTCCGGGATCCGCCCGCAGGACCCCCCCCACCCCGCCCTCACCACGAACGCCGCGCCCGGGGCTGCCCGGCGAGAACGCCTGATCCGCAGCCGCCGCGGATGCGTTGCCATGGCAGCGCCCCGCCCATATGGGGGCGTGGTTTTAAGGGGGCGTGGCCTGAGGGCAGGGCGAGGAGGACACTTCGTGTCCTCCCCTCGCCCCGCCCCTCAGGCCACGCCCCCCTCAGCCCTCAGGGGAAAGGCCACGCCCCCCCCCGCCCTCTGCTGGAAAAGCGGCTGAAATAAATCCCTTAACACCGATTTGCCCCGGAGTTTTAACGTGTTTTGTGTGGGGGTCGGTCTCTTCTCCCAGACAAGAGGGCATGGTCTTTAAGCTCTTGCCGGGGGGGGTTCAGGTTGGATTTTAGGAAGAAATTCTTCGCAGAGAGGGCGATCGGACGTTGGGGTGGGCTGCCCAGGGGAGGTGGTGGATTCGCCGTCCCTGGAGGTTTTTAAGGCGGGACTGGATGTGGCGCCGAGTGCCACGGCCTGGCAGCCACGGCGGGGTTGGATCAAGGGTTGGACTTGGTGATCTCAGAGGTCCTTTCCAACCCAGCTGATTCTACGATTCTATGAGAAAAGTCACCCCACGCAGGCACTGCCTTTAGTTTATCCGCCCCGCTTCCCCTCTCCTGGAGCTGGGATGCACCAGGATGCCCTCAGTGTCAGCCGGGTCACGGAGCTGGGATGGTTTGTTCAGTGGTATAACCTGGAGGGTTTTTTGGTGCTGAGGAGGCTTTAGAGGGTGCTGGCAGGGGGATTTGGGGGTGCCAATGGGGTTTTGCGGGCCGCTTGGATGTATTCAGGGGTGTTAATGCGGTTTGAGGGGTTGCTGGCAGGGTTTTGAGGATGCTAAAGCACACTAAAATGATGTTTGGAGCTGCTGAGGTCTGAGGGAAAGCTGGGATGGTTTGTGGTGCAGGAGGAGTTTTGTTAGTGCTACAGGGGTTTTGGAGGGTGCTGTGAGGGATTTGGGGGTGTTTATGGGGCTTCGAGGGGGTTCTGGCAGGGTCTTGAGGATGGTAAAGCACACTAAGATGGGGTTTGGGGGTGCTGAGTGTGGGGGGGATGCTGGGATGGCTTGTGGTGCACTAGGAGGTGTTTTGTTGGTGCTGAAGAGGTTTTCGAGGTTGCTGGAAGGGATCTGGGGATGGCTAATGGAGTTTTACCCCATTATCCCTGACTGTGTGCCCGGCAGCACAGTCAGTGCTGGCTGGGACAGCACAGACACACACAGGAACACCTTAGGAAGAGAGAGAATGGCAGGAACCTGTGTTAGGGAAGGTTTAGGTTGGATGCTGGGAAAACACTGTTTACCCAGAGGGAGGTTGGGAAATGGAACAGGCTCCCCAGGGCAGTGGTCACAGCACCAAGCCTGGCAGAGCTCAAGCAGAATTTGGACAACGCTCTTGGGCACGTGGTGGGATTCGTGGGGTGTCCTGAGCAGGGCCAGGAGGTGGAGGGGTTGATCTTCCAGCTTAGGATATTCTGTGACTCTGTGGTTCTCTCAGAAGCTGTGTGTGCATCTTGCTCTACAGGCTGGAGAGAAAATCTTCTGGATCCTGGATATAAAGCGGGGGAAAAAAGACAGAAACATGTCTGCTTTATCAATCACAAAAATGCCATCTAATTCTGGTATGAATAAGTCATCAAAAGACCACAGCAAAAAAAAAAAAAAAAGATAATTAAGAAAATATTTATTGCCTCTGCATCCGGAGGAGGACAAACAGTAACTCCATGGAGCACATCCTGTGGTACCTCGTGGAGTTTGGGATCTCAGAGCTCCTGTCACACCATTTGCTCAGCGGAGCAGCCGCACAGCTGAGGCTGGAATGAGCTCCCTCCGTGCTCCAGGTTAATTCCTTCTGCTCAGGTACACAAAAACTGGGAGCGTGGCACTTCCCAGCAGAACCCAACAGACTGCTGCCCCTCTGGGGAATACAAATTCCAGGGTCTGAGGCCTGGAAGAAAGCTCCCACATGGCTTATTCCAACCTTTGATGCTCAGGATTTTGTGAACACCTTCCCACACTGGCAGGAAGCATTATCCCTGCTCAAACCTGCAAAAGGCAAAGTTGGGTCATTTTTCTTCCTGTGAGTAACACGTGCCAAGAACTGACAACTAAAAGTCAAAGACTAAAAGTCAACAGCCCACAGAATTCCCTGTTCCAAGATGTCAGCGATATCCCCATCTGTGTCAGGAGCACTCAGCATGTGACGTACCATGAGTGCATTTATAACATTTCACGTGTAGTATTGAAATAGTAACACACAAATACACTGCACCAACTACTAACACGGTGAATTACACCAATCACTGCCAGTATTTATTTGTCAATTCATACAGAGCGATACTGATGTACTTAGAAGACAAAGACATAACGAATAAACAGAATATAATTCCTTGGACTGGATTTGGAATTATTACTGGAGCTATGGCTCATGAAAACTGGAATGGAACCTGAAATGCTTCCAGTGGGCCAAGTCCTGTGTCCATGCCTCATCCAAATACCTGCATCACCTAAGCCAGTGCTGTGTCTTAGGAAACACATCCTGTACATCTGCTACCCTCCAGGTAATACTTTCTTCAGTATTGCAGTGTTACAATGACACCAAAAAGCCACTCATTTCAGTGCTGCTGCTCAGGGAGCAGGGAAGGGCGTGACACAGAATCAGCTGCACACACGGCTGCAAAGAGATTTATTTTCAGATTTCAGGAAAATGTTGCAGTTCTGGTTTCCTTTTTTCGCTTAAGGCTGCCTTCATCTGGGGAGAACACTGAGAAGCAAATTTCAGCAAGACAGCGTGTGCACTGGCAGTGTTCACCAGGGACACGATGCCTGCACCCTGAGGAGCAGGAGCGCTGAGGGAGGCAGGGAACAAAGGATGGAGCAGCACGAGGTGAGGTGGCCGTGCCCTGCTGGAATCAGTGCAGGTATGGAACAAAGGATGGAGCAGTACAGAGGGTGTGTGGTCACGCTCTGTAAGGAACAATGCAGGTAACGGGAGCCAAAGGAACGACCTAAACCGTGACCAAACTTCACTCCAGTAACCCCACGTGTGCTCAGGGCTGAAGCCAAACTCCACCTCAACAGAAAACGGCGTCAACCGTAACTCACCTTTTCTCCTTCCCCGAGGAAAACAATATAAATACAGCTTAAGAGAGCAGGGAGGTCAGAGGAGACTCCCGCTCTGTGTCCCGGGACTGCCAGCAGGCTGTACCCACCTCCTCCCCCAGGGATGCCTGTTGGGTAAGGCTCGAACCTTCGGCTGTACCGAGCGCTTCCTCGGGAAACGTGGAAAGCAGCCCGTGCTTGAGATCGTGCTCTGAGTGCTGTACCAGCATCTCCCAATTTCATGTGCTTATGCCTGGCTGTGTTATATTTTTTGTTGCTTAGTGCCGAACTGGCCATCCCTCAGCACCCGAGCCCAGCTGCCTCCTTATGGTCCTTATGGTTCCTGAGAAGCAGCTGGAACTCAGCAGTGGGGGTTTTCTGCCAAATTTGATGCAACAGATAAGTTCGTTTTACTCTTAACGTGATAGCTTCATCAGAAGTTTCAAACGGGAGTTCACAAAACGGTTCCCGCAGCTTTGGGAATCACAGTGAGATTATTAACCAGATTATTTATTTATATCACTAAATCAGGATTTGATAAGGGACACCGGAGAAACTATTTTCACACGGCATTAGGCACGCGATTCCTGCGGAAAATCCGCTCCATCCCTGGCCCATCTCCTGACCCCCATCCCGGGAAATCCCCCCCACCCGGGCCCCTCCCGCTGGCTCTCACGCCGCTCCGGCAGCGCGCGGGGCAGCCCCGTGGGGCGGTGCGGGGGCCTAGCGGGCCGTGTCGGACCGCGGTGAGGACTGCGGGGAACGCCCCGCCCCTTCCGGTGTCGGCCATGGCCCTGCAGGTGGCGCTGCGCCGGGCGGCGGCGGCGTGGGGGGGGAGGTGAGAGGGGCACAGGGAGAGGGGTCGGGATCGGGATCGGGATCGGGATCGGGATCGGGATCGGGACTGGGACCGGGATCGGGATCGGGATCGGGATTGAGACCGGGATGGGAGTGGGAGAGGGATGTGGTTTGGGAGAAGGAGAGGGATGGGGATTGGGACAGGGACTAGGATCGGGTTCGGGATTGGAAGAGGCATCATGATAAGAATGAGGAACCGGGAGAAGGATGGGGATGGGGAGAGGGATCGCCGGGCCCGCGGTCGAGGCCGGGGTCTGGATGGGGACCAGTATCGGGACGGGGATCGGGATCGTGTGGCGCTGCCGTGGGAGGGGCGGGGGTTCCCGGCGGCCGGGCCGGCTCGGGCGGGAAGGATGCCGGTGCTCCCGCGGGCGGGCGGGACGCGCGTGGGGCCCGCCGGGAGCGGAGCGTTCGGTAACGGCCCGGCGGGGCTGCCCAAAGGCTCCGGCACCGGCCGCGGCTCTCCTGTCCCCACGGGCGCTGAGCACCGCAACGGTGCGGGTCGTGCAGCCGAAATGAACTTGCAACGGCAAAATGTGATGTTCGTCTGAAAGCTCGAATATCTGATCGTGATTTCTTGTTCTAGGATGGGGAGCCTACAGTCTACTTCTGTAGGATTGTCTAATGAGGCTGCTGCGAGTCAAATACAGGTAACGTTATTTATGCGACTTCTACTTATTTTCAACATTTATACAAGCTATGGGTACTTAAAACCTTTTTTTTTATTTATACTAAGAAATGCTGTAAATAGTTGTGCATATTGAACCTGTTCTCCTGTGTATTATGTTTATCAAGTCATGCTGGCAGCCCTGGAACCTGATCTTCCTAGGCTGCACCCATTTCATGTTTTTTCAGACCTCTGCTCATATTTTTGGAGTCAAGCAGAGGTCAAACGTGGCTTCATGGGTGCCAGCAGTAATCTTCTGTATTTGTGACCATAATAGCAGTGTTTTGACTTCTGTGTTAAGTTCTCACGACTGTTCAGTATTGTTGGAAATGTACTGGCATAAAGCTCACTGACTTCAACCTCACTGACTTCAGCTTTCTTCTGAACATCCAGAACATCGTTTCAGACAACTGTGTGGTGATTTTCTCTAAAACAACGTGCCCGTACTGCAAAATGGCAAAAAAGCTGTTTGAGGGTTTGAATGTGAACTACACGGCTGTGGAACTGGACACAAACACCAATGGGAGTCTGTTCCAGGACATTCTTGAGCAGATGACGGGCGGCAGAACAGTGAGTATCTTCTACACGTGACAAGTAAGAACTTGGAGTACACATGTCCCCCTTGGGGTATGTCCATGTCAAGTTCTTCATCTTTTTGAGACAAGTAACTTGGGATACAGGCTCCTAAATTAAAGTCAAGGTACTGCAGAAGGGTTCTGTACCCTCTCTTCCTCTAGAGCCCCCCTGGCTGTCCCTCAGTTATCTTTTCCATACTGTCACTAAAATAATTGAAGTATCATTTTTCGTCTCTATATTTAATCCATTGTGTTTAACAATTGCCTTGTATTTTATTTTCTATAGTCTCACTTGACTCAGTTATTACAAACTCCCACACAGTGACTTCATCCCAGTTCTGAGGGGCACTCAAAGTTTCCCATCTCTGTAAATATTATGGAAACATGAGTTGCACACTAATATTATACATACATCTAGAAGAACACAACTGTTGTGTGCATTAGAGTCCGTGTGGGCTTACTTAAGACTTTTATCTTTTTTCCAAGAAGTAACTAATGCAATTTTTGTTTTCTTGACAGGTCCCAAGAGTGTTTATCAATGGGACTTGTGTTGGAGGTGCAACAGATACTCAGAGGCTTCATGATGAAGGCAAACTGCTTCCTTTAGTTCAACAGTGTCAAATACAAGCGAATTCCTGAGCAGCCATCCAGCTTCGCTTCATCTTCCTTTGTATAAACACAATTTCAGATGAATGCAGAAGATCACAAAGATGCACAGCATGAGCTGCACTCAGCAACTTCAGACCACGGCTTTCTGAATCACAGATCGTCCTCTGACAGACTCTTTATGGACTCAGCAAATTAATTGGTGTCCTTGTTTAAGCTTTGTCGTAATCAAAATGGTCATTAAAAATCATTATGTAACTCAGGGCTCGAAGTGTGAGACAGTGATGTCGTTTCGTGGCTCTTACGTCCTGCTTCAGAGAGGTCTAAACTGTACCAGAATAACGTGTATTTTTTGGCTGCACATTAGTTGGCTTTCCAGCTTTGTTTCAATAAATGCTCAGTATAATTTAATGGTGCCTTTAAATTCAGTTCTTCTCAGTCAGTTTGTAATGAAGAAAGCACGAAGCCCAAGGAGGCTGCAGTGATTGTGGGGTGTGTGTGTGTCTGCCTCTCACATTTCAGTACCTGATCGCTGAGCTCCCAAACTGTATATCCACTTGAACAAAAAAGGGAATAAAGAGGGGAAGAAATGGCTTTCATCCCTACTCTGCACTGCAAAGTATCAGTCTGTACAGTGCCATTCAGGAATTCTCCTGGGAGCCAGACAGCTCACCGCCACCGAACTGCGGCTCCAAACTACGGTACGATAATCCAGCAACGCTATAAAAAAAGCAGACTAAGTCAAAGGGGTCTAATATGCATAGAGTTTATTTAGTACTTAAATTCTACAGTCAGAATGCAGTTTACTAGCCATTTTAACTTTCAGTTAAATGTCTAAAAGAAATTGCTAAAATTCAATAGTTTCAGTACAATGTACATCCAAAGCCAGAACAGGCAATGCCAAGACTCTTGGTTATTTCAAGTCCATATGCAAGTAAAAAATTCTATCCCATTCTTCAGTAAAAGGGACCATTACACAACTAAAGGTGCACACATTAGAATGAAAACATTAGTCAATTAATTTTTACTCAGTTTTTGTGAGTTAGACTCCTGTTATTTCCATTGCTTTCAACACTGCATGTACCTAAACTACTTTTTTCCCCCTTCAAGGGAAAAAAAGCATCACATTTATCTTCAACTCCAGATAGCCAGGACTGCAAGAGTGTAATTTAAATTTGACAGCTTTATTTTTGTGATGCAGGTTTGAAACCGCATCATTTATAGAAATTCTATTCAGAATAGAGTTGTCTGCACTGTGCATCTTTAATGTGTAATAAGCTGATTAAACACACTGGCCTTGTTATATTTTTATTGCCTTTACTGTATCCTGCACCGTCATCAAGATAAACACACAAATGTGCATGTCCTCCTGAATTTATACTTAATAAAGCAGTTTATTTTGCACATACAGTCGTAAAAGAATACCAGGTACTCTTTTCCTCTGGGCAGAATTCTTCGGCCAGTTGAGCATTTTCAGAAGTTCTGCAATAATTTTGCCCCTGAAAGCTGATAAACCCATCATGTAAAAATAACAACAATAGTACGCAAAGGAATTTTTCAAAGCTCTTTTCATTTTTGTTCCCTGTTTAGGGAACTTGTTTTTTAAACAGTAGTCCAAAATAACCCTTTGAGTTCCAAGTTTCAGGAATCCCAGGGCATTGTCACTTAAGGCAATAATCTAATCCAGCTGTATGCCTGCAGATCCAAGTGAGTGCCCGTTTATTAAAGGAGATATGTCTTAAGGCACCCAAAGGGTTAATTATGTTTCTTTTTAACCATATTAAGGCTCCCCATCCAAATAGTTTTCCCTTAATTGTGTATAATTTCACAGAAAGTAGCAGCAAGACAGTGCCTTCGTTATTGGATGGCACAAAGCCATGTTATGTTTAAGTCATTTAAACATGATATGGCAGTTAAAGTGTGGTTCTACTCTAGGAAATAAAAAAAATAACAACAAACCAACAAACAAATTAAGAGACTCAAGAACAGTCATTAAAAATTTCCATAATTTTGTGCCCAGCATCGTCTCCAGGACAAAGCTGTTTATCTCAAAATATGCTTGCCCTGGGATCTGAATATTAAAATGTATCCACTAAAAGCTTTGGATACCTGCTCATCCAGCCTAAATCCCACGCTTCTAAGAAGCGTGAGCAGCTGGAAACAAACACTGAGTTTTTTAACTAAGCACACAGATCTGGGAATGTGCCCATCTGTTGCTTTTTTATACAGAATTCTTTTTAAAGAGTAGAACTGCACTTTTATAGGAGAATGAAAAGACATTTAATTTGTAACTAGTTGTGCTTAACTCTTCAGAAGCTGGTTAACATTAGGAAAACAACTATTTATATTATTTGTTAATGAAGCATTTGTAAAAGTTCTCCACATACCTCATATATATGCAAATATATATATATTTTTAAACTTAAAGTCAGAATGCAGAAACACCTAAAGAAACCACGCTTTAAGTATCAAAATTATAAATCCAAATATGTAAGCACACATATTTAAAGACACCACACCTTCTGCTGAAATTAGCTAATCTTACACGTTATCTCTTTAAGAGCAGCACATACACAATATACTGTCCTAGTTAGTGTATCAACTTTTCTCCCCCCAGAACTCTCACTCAGCAATCTGTCCACAATACTGTGTCACGGGGAGATGAAATCTCTACCATTCCAGCAAGAAAGTCATTAAAACAGCTTGCTTACAGCACATCTGCACTGCAAACCACTGCAGACAGCAAAATAAACCTATAAACTGATGAAGTGTCAGAGAAAATAAGGATTGAAAGCACAAGCAAATGATACTTTGCTTGGATTTACTTCTACAGGCTGTTCTTTGAAGACTTTCTCTAGTCAATACTGCAAAGAAGCTGCCTCTTTATCCAGAATATTAATTTAAGTGTTTACCTAATTCTGCATATGACAGCAGCGTGATAATATGCAATGGAATAAAAAGTTTCCAACCACTGAGCTAATTCTAGAGAAAAAAACCTTTAAATTTGAAAAGCCAATTGTAAGAGGTTACTTTATAAAAATAAAGTCGTTCACAGGTAGGTGCTGGATTTTTGTAAATAAACAAAGTATACTTTTGTCACTGATTTTTACACAAAGATTTACCAAAAATCTGATAGATACAGCAAATTAAGTGTTTTGTAAAAGATGTATATAATTAAAGAAAAAAGTGTATCCATTCTTAAAAAAATTAAAATAAATACTATGACATCAGTTCCGGTGTAAGTAGCTAAGTGCTCAATGATGGCAAAAAGGCAGAACAGAGGCAAAAATAAAAAAAGGAATGGATGAGAGCTTGTGAAAAAAAGATTCAAGTATAGGCCTGAGGTGACAAAGGATGGGAAAGGAGGAGAAAACCCAACATTAACAGAAAAAAGGAAGGGTAAAGCGAAAAGGTAATAGAAGAAAAAACCAAAATGGAACCAAAACTAAAGCTTCTGTTACAGTAGCTGTGAGTCAGGGACGTGGTTCAGCAGCACAGCATCTTCTGTAATGCACAAAAATATTTTCATAGTGTTTTTACAGACAGAGCCATCATTAAAATACACCTCCAAAACTGCTGGTGTTTAAGACAAGGATATGTATTTTGTTGAATAGCCTTTTAAAGCCATAACCATTTACGGGCACCAGTTAAACAACAATGATGCAAAAGAACAACACAACCCCCCTTATGATTTATGTTTAACAAAGAGGTTTAACAGTGGTTTTTAAGCAGCAAGGTATTTTAGGGCCAGTTATTAGTAGCCTTCACACAGTGGGCATTTAGACTGGCCCTTGTGACTGCAGAGCTACACCTACTTTTAGACTTCTCTTTTTTTTTTTTTAAATACAGAGGAACGTAGGTAAAGACCCCTTATTTTGCCTGTAATCTAATTCTACAGGCTTCCCAAACTGTCCTACTCCTTGCTCCAGGTCTAAAATTCCTGACATGAAATTCTAATTCTTGGCCCTCTCCACATTCTTCATTGTGTCCCTTCCATGAAGAACCCTGGCCTTTGATGTTTGTTCCTTACAGCTCTTCATTACAGAAGGTTTTACCTCTGTTGTACTTCCAAACATTAGAACCTTTTTTCCTTTCTTAAAGTGCCTGAACATTACAGCCTCAGACATAATTGTCCAATACTTCAGAATTTTTAAGGGGGTCACAGTGAAATGGCAGCCAAAGTGAACCTGTCAGTTCTGTCAGACATCAGGAAACCTGCGCTTGTCAACTCTACAGTTGCACTCTGCATTTAGATTTATTTTAATCAATATTTTGAATAAAATTAACTAGCTTTAAGCTTCTCCCTGTTCAATTTTTACTGGTAAACTGCATTGCACAATTTCTGCTTTGTTAGCCCAAGTGTTCCTCCAATGCAAACACCACTATTAATTTCAAAGAGTCCGTGTCTCCTCTTTGGTGAAAAGGTAGGTCATTTATTGTACACTGAACAAATGCTTCAGATTAGCAACTCTGTCTTAAGTTCATTTTTTCCTATTATTTTTGAAGCACTACAGTAATTACTGCCTCTTTACATGTCTAGATATCGGTTTGGAAATCACCAGTTCAGTAACTAAACTCAGGACACGTTTATGTTACGGCAAATGAGTCATGCTGTCCCCTAAAATTCAGTGTGTGGGCAGATAAGGGTCCAGTCTGGGGAAAAGGAATACGCAGCATCATTATTCTATGCCCCTTCCTGGAAGATAATAACAAACCCAAAAAGAAAATCACAGGAACAAAGGTCACACTATAAAGTTTCAGTTATCAGCATTTACTTCTTTTTCCCCTCTCTGTGTAGATCTTAAGGGAGGAGGAGATGACAATGTGGTCTCACCAGTGCTAGTTTTCCACTGTGTAACCAAACCACTTAGAATATTCTATTTCTAGCAAGGTTTTTTTGTACAGAGATACTATAAATGTTTAGGAGTGTATTATGTATCCTAGCATGGATGACTATCTTTTATTATGGGTCAGAGCTATCCAGTGCAATAGATACAGGGAGCTACAATTTCTATCAGTTCTACTGAAAAGTTCATCTTTACTTACACACTCTAGTTCATGAAATTGTATTTTAAACTGGACTGCTTTCAAAGATGTAACACCACTATAACCGTTCATTCAACCTGTTAGTAACTATTCTAACCTCTTATTAGCAGTAAATGTACTTGAAACACCTGTTTTTCATTTTTATATTTAGTCCAAAATATTTCCTATGACTTCACAAATACTACTCCAAGTAAGAAAAAGTACTTGCAAAAGATACTCATCATCAGTTATTTTCAACATCTCTAGCTTAGAGGAAACACCTAATCAGATGTCTGACTACTGTGTAATTTAACACATTACTACCAAAACCACCCCCAAAACATCAGTGCATTTACCTGAAATAATTATTAACATGTATTGAGCAAATGAGTTTACTCCCCATATTGATACGGTGTTTTGTTTAGCTGCTCAGAATTGATATGCAATTTTTCACGTGAAATGGCAGATTTTCTTTTTCAAGAAACTCAAAGTGCTACGTCTCAGCTCTTGCAGGAACACGTTTTCTTCCTTGATGTCACCTGAGGAGCTGGTGGCAGTCCTGTATTCTCCAAGCTTTCTATCAGAGCCATACGTAAGAGCAGTGATAATTCACAAGCAACTATACATTCATGTTCACTGGAAGGTGACACTCCTACCATCGGTTCTTTAAGCCCTGGTTTTAATGTCAGAGAAGGTTTCCCTCACTGGTTTGGTTTGTTCATTAAGGGACAGTGTCAGTAAGTAGCAGGAATACCCTCAGTAACATGTACCATCCCGTTTTAGCACCAAAAGAGACGCCCGCGCTACACAACGCGAGCTCTGGATTTGTAGTTAATATGTATGAGGCAAAAAAAGAAGAGTGTTACAAGTATCAAAAGTATAATATGAATTTACATTTAAAAGCTTAGGTTTTAGGCAGAAAATACGGTCTTACGTGTTCTTTACCGCAACGGGTAAATGTGTTATTTTTATAAATCATAATTATTTTCAAATTAACATCAAATTCACTGTTTACAACAGCCAGCATTAGCATAAAAGAGGCTGACACACATATGTTTTAGAGGAAGTTGTAAAAGCATCACTAAAAAACCTTTCTAATCTTTTAAGACTGATCTACTAAAGAGATCTTTTAACTTCCCCCCATACACACACATATAAAACACACAGAAAATTAAATACATATACACATTAATTGCTATCAGTCCCTGTTCCAAAGTGGTAAGATACTCACTAGCTTTCTCCTTGTTTACTCACAGTCCTACTCTAAGACTAAAGAATTAAAAAATAAAAAAAAAGAATCCAGTTTCAATCACTTCCTAAACAAGATCTTGTGAACATGAAGGATGCAACTGTACAGTTCATAAAAGTTTTTAAGAATTGGTCACTATAAACTGGAGGTAGTTTTGAAATATGTTAGCTTGAATTAATTCATGAAACCAGAAGTAGCACTAATCTACAAAAATATTTTTAAAAATGAAATACTCTCCTGTTAGGAAGATTGTTTCCGTATCACTGAATACATTCTTTTGGAAAAAAAAAAAAAAAAGTAGCTTATGGTTTCTGGTTGTTCCCACTCAGCTTTGGAGAGCAGGCCAAGACACATGCACTTGTTGATCTTTCTTGCTGAAAGTGTGCTGATGCTTCCTGAAGTTGTAACATGGACTGAATGTGGCATCACAGTCATTTCCAAGGTCTTTTTCTACTAAAAACAGTTTTTAGAACTTCCTTTAAAGCCTATTAATTCTAAAATAGTGCTTCTGAAACCGTATTGTGCAGAAACTGCCCCTCAATTTATCTGAAGAGATATTTACTCCTGAAAACCCAGATGATGATCTACATAGAAAAAGACTGGCATGAGCTCTTCCACTTTCAGTTTTATCAGTATAAAATTTCCCTGGATAACTTTTATCCTGTATCACAGTCACATGGTCTCAATATGTACCAGAAAATACTTTTAGGTTTAGTAGGTTTTAACTGTAACCATGGAAACCATTGAACCTTAGTAATGCTTAAAATACAAAGATTTTAAAAAGCACGAAGAAAAGTCCCTCTCAGTGAAGTTGCTGTTAAACTGACATCATTAAAAATACTAAACCCATTTTTTTCCAGCCCCATTCTAAATGTAATTCATCAATTTATTCTCGCAAACAAGCATTCCACAGCAACAGGGGAGGGGGAAATTAAAAATCTCTCCATATTTATAACCTATTATAAGTGAAATTAAATTATGTATACCCTGTAGCCACTTTCAGCAAACTTCCCACCGTTATTTTAAATCTTGTGCAACAGGAAAAAAGAGAAAAGAGATTTCTCATCTGCTTTTCTTGTTTTCCCTTCACAAAAAGGTAACAAAGAATCACAGGATCATTACGGTTGGAAATGACCTCCGAGTTCATGGAGTCCAACCTTTAACCTAACACTGCCACATCTACCACTACCCTAAGCACCACATCCACGAGTTTTTTGAACACTTCAGAGATGATGATTCCACCACTCCCCTGGGCAGCCTGTTCCAAATGCTTGACCGGACACAGGATTTGAGGTGCGGCCTCACCAGTGCCAAGGACAGGGGGACAATCATTGTCCTGGTCCTGCTGGCCACACTATTGCTGATACAGGCCAGATCCTTTCCCACCGGGCAGCTTTCCAGCCACTCTTCCCCAAGCCTGGAGCGCTGCATGGGCTGGTTGTGACCCAAGTGCAGGACCCAGCACTTGGCCTTGTTGACCTTCATCCAACAGTCCCGGGTCCAAGGATCCTGCAGCACCTTCCTACCCTCCAGGACATCCACCCTCCTGCTGCCCAACCTCAGGTCACATGTAAATGATCCTCTCATCCAGATCATCAGTAAGATGTTAAACAGGACTGATCCCATACTGATCCCTGGGGGACATCACTGGTGATGGAGGAAACTCCCCTCACCACCACTCTGGGCCCGGCCATCAGCCAGTTCTTTATCCACTAACAGGGCACCCATCCAAGCCAGGGGCTGTCAGCTTCTCCAGGAGAAACAGGGGGAAACAGTGTCAAATGCTTTCCTACAGTCCAGGCAGACGTATCTTCAGCCTTTCCCTCATCCACTGTTCAGGTCACCATGTCATAGAAGAAGATCAGGTTGGTGAGGCAGGGCCTGCCTTTCCTAAACCCCTGCTGGCTGGGCCTGCTCCTTTGGTTGTCCTGCAAGTGCTGTGTGATTAAGATGATGTCCACGACTAATGAAAAATGATGGAGAGTGGCTTGGCAAGCTCGTCTGCCAGCTCCCTCAGTACCCTTGGATGGATTGAATGCAGCCCCATAGACTTGTGCCTGTTTAAGTGGAGCAGCAGGACACTGTTCCCTCCTGGATTATGAGGACTTCACTCTGCTCCTGGTCTGGAGCTGGAGGAGCCTGCAGGAGGGTGAGGACACAGCACCAATGCCCCCATCCAGCCCATCCTGAAGTCCAGATTTTTGACCCAAGAGCTGCAGGCTCACCTGCTGGACCAGGAGGACAACAAGAACTGCACTCAAGCAGTGGAGGAGCTGAAGAGGGTGGTTGGAGGTGCCCACCAGGCAGCACTGACCTCCATGCCTGCCCCTTGGCCTCCTGGAGCTCATCAGCTTCCTTTGCACACTCCTCAACTACTCCAGCTTCAAGCAGTACTCAGGGCACTGAAGGTGATCCATCTGCTGGCACTGGGTGACCAGGTCCAGCCCCTTCCTGGTACCACTGGTCTCAGCTGCTGCTGAAGTCCTGGGGGACAAGAAGCTGGACGTCCAGCAGGAGTACAACCCCCTGTTCCTGTGGCTGTGAGAGTACCTGCAGCACAACAACTCCAAAGTCCATGAGGAGGGGGTCGACATCGTGGCCTTCTTCACTTACCCTAGCGGGGAGCTGGACTTGGCCAAGCTGGCGGTTTGGGCCGACTCCAGCACTGGTGGACAGCAAGAGCAGGGTCTGGCATGATGACATGGAAATGTCTGATGTGCTGGCATCTTCCACAGGCCCAGGCAAAACCATCCCTCTCTTCAAGTCAGTGGATGCTGTGGAACTGGAGGACAACAGGGATGGGGTGATCCATGTGGAGCAGGCCAGGCTGGCCAGGCAGACCTTGCTGAAGCTTAGTGGGTTTGTACAGCACACCGTGCCCTTGCCGTCATCTGGTCATGACAGGGGGTCCTGTTTACCCTCTGGAACAGATACAGACTGGCTCTTGATGGGCCACAGGACTCCGAGCACACACAGTTACTGTGGGTATCTCTCAAGGGATGATGCAGCTCCATGGTGCCTAGACTGATCCAGGAGTAAGTCCAAGAAAAGTCTCGAGCGTGTGGACAGGAAAAAAACCCAACTGCCTTGGGAAAATGAGCATGCTGGAGACAAGGAAGGTGGTTCAGGAGTCGAGATGCCTTTCTCAAAGGGTGTGGAGAAGGGCTGCCAGCTGTGCTGCAGGGTTCTGAAGGGTGATCTGATTCAACTGACAGGCACAGCCAGGAGTGTCCGAGTGGTGCAGGGTGTTCCTGTGTGGCGCCAAGTCCAGATGTGACAGTGGTGACATCTGGTGCCACCTCCAGGGGCAGGGGGATCACTGGCTACTGACAGCTCTTTTGACACTAGAGATGCAAGCGCTGAGTTTTTCTTAGTTTGTTAGATTTGCACGAGACCACAGTTATGTTCAACCTCACAAACACCTCAGTGAGAAGCTCTAGTCAGAGATGCTTGAACTGCCACCACCTCACGTAACATTCTGATACGTGTATATATAATATGCCATATTCTAACAAAGTATATTTGGCTGGGAGTTCCCAGGGTGAAGTCTGTTGCCAACAGTGGACCCACTGGGAAGAGCAAATGCCTAGAAAAATTAAATCAAATCCAAAGTGAAGTTTCGAATGACCTCCAAAGCTCCCGTATCAAAGCCACATATATCCAACATGCCTCTGTCATCTGGGTCTGCCACTGTAAAACCATTTGAGGTCATTCCACAAATAATCAGTTTTGCAGGAATACCCATTTTCTAGAGGAAGGACAGAAAACAAATAGTCAGAAAATGCATACAGAGTAAAACATGGCAGTACATACATATACAGTAAATTAAACATGCCAGAGGACCAAATCTTGCTTGCATAAACCACTGTCTGAACAGACATACTGATAAAAATGAGATATGCCACAATCAGAGCTGAACACTGCCTGTTAACATTGTGTTTAACCTGCAGTGGACATATTTAAATAAATGGAAATAATTACAACCAGGTATATTAGCAAAAAATTCCTGCAATACTACAATTCATAGATTGTTTTAAATGCAAACATTGCATTTGCTATTATGCAGTTCATTCTTAGAGACAACTCAATAATAATTACCAAGGGTAATTATCAGGCTCAAACAGTGTGTTTTTGTCGAAGGCAAGGATTTCCAAATGTTGGTTGAATAAATACAACAGCTGTGGTCTGGACAATTCTGCTAAATAAGCTGAATTTGCAGGTAAGTAACTCTAAGGCAAAGCAAAGCAAGTGGCATGAAGGTCAGAGTGCAGGAACTCTTTCTTTATAGAACAAGTTTAGGAATGGGAGCTAATCTCAACTAAGAGAACTAAAACACGGTCCATATACACATGCTTACCAGAAATACTTTTTGTAGTTTAAAAAGTAGTTTCTTTAAAACATAAAAGATTGTTTACTGAGGTTCTAATAGCAATGTGCTTGGAGAGGCTATTTTTCTTTCTTCTATTTTAAAATTATTAAGCTTAGAGTAGTCCCTTTAAAACATAATGGGCTTTCTTCAGAAAATAGTGTCACCTCATCCTATTGACACTTCCCTACAGGCTTATCTTCATTACTTTATTTAAAATTTTTGGTATCTACTGCAGACACCAAAGGTAAATTTAATTCTGTGAGCCAAATTTCATTCTGGAAGAACTATAAAAAATTTATTCAATCCATTTTATATAAAAAATGCAAAAATTCATATACTCCTTGAATACCAAACAAAGCTTCATGGATACTGCAATACAGCAAGCAGGGTAGGCTAATTACAAATCCTTTTAGCAATTCTGTGGTTTTAAAAATGCACAATTAGTGCAATATGTCCACCAATTCTACCTAACTGCAGAACTGATCAGTTTTTAACAACACATCATTATTTACTGAAAAAAAGCCACAACTACTTCAGTCCCTAAACCATTTTTAAAGCTGGTATTTATTTAGTGCTGCATTCACTAATCCTAAACAGTCAGAAGCATATTTACCTCTCTGTATTCTCTAAGGGCTGTGGCAGGAGGAGTATTTCCAGCAAAGGTCTCATTATCAGTAAATACAATGAAGACATCAACAGCTCTCTCAGTTTTTTGAGCCCATATCATGGAAGGGAACAATCAGTGGTACCCACTGGAATCTTAAGAGAAAAAAATAAATATACATGGAACACATTAATACAGAAATTAGTAAGCCATGGAAGAATTACCGTTTATGTAAACTTCATGTTTTATCACACAGAGTTTTTTTTGTTAAACTTATGTCATTTCATCTTAGGGTTTTCTTTTAGTTGAGTTGCTTTTTTTTAAAACATTCTTTTAATCTCATTGTGACCTAGCACTACCATTCTAAATTGCAATGTTTAATATCTGAAATTGTTTAATAACTGAAATATTGACATTTTTTGGACTTTCTCTAAATAAAAGGGGCCAAAAAAGCCTATGTTTTACTACAGAGATACAGACTAAACAAATCAATAAAACTGATTACAAAGAAAGTACAGTGTAACTGCTGAGACTTTTTTTTTTTACATACTTCATACATTTTCACTAAAACTTGAGGTAATGTCATATCAGCCATCACTGGACACGGGACCATTTCATGTGAGAAAGCAACAATGTGGGAATCCTTCTCAGTACGTGCTACAACCTGAGAAAGAGGAAGACAAAAACAATTCAGTTATCTTACTCTGAATTTTTAATGTCTGGATGGAGCCATTCCCTACCAAACACACAACATGACAGGCTTTTGTATTTAAGACACTGGGTTCCTTACGTGCACCAAGAGTTCACTCTACACTTTAAATATTCTGTAATATTTTACTGCAAATAAGCACTGCCAAAATCAGAGCTAAAGAACTGCTCTAATTACTACAACTAAAGATACTTCCATATTTCTTCTCTCCCCTCTGACATAAAACATGGAGTGTTTTTAAACGCCAACAGAAGTTAAACTCCTCTACAACACAAGAATACGATGCAACACAGCAGCTCTGCAACACCAAACTGAGGGGAAAGTGATTGTGCATAAAGGCCACCTGGATAACTCAAATGTACACAGGATTTATCCTACAATTTCTTAATCCAATCTGTATTATTCTATAAATGCTTCTGAAAAAAAATTAAAATGTATTTTCAGCTAAGTGAAAGAGCTGCCCTGACCACTTTGTTTTATACTTGAAACCAACCTTTCTGTGAATATGGTTACCAGTAACTTTAAGGAACTGATCTACCAGTAAGGCACAAGGTCACGCCTCCTATACCCAAAAAATATTATATATATAAGTTTCCTCCTGATTTCTAACCAGCTTTAGAGCATCTTTGTATCAAAAGACCAGTTATAAATAAAAGCAGTGCAATGCCTCACCATACACATCGTTGCTGCAACGGTGCTCGCATTGAGCACACTGCCCAAAACTTTTTGTGTCATTGATGCACTGACATCAACTGCAAGTAGGAAGCGTTTTCCTGTTGGTTCAAGTGTCTAAAAGGAAAAAAAAGAGAAAAAAAGAAAATAGGTACCCATTATTAATATTGTTGCCAAAGTTTCAGCATTGTTATCCACCCCACAAAGTTTCCTTGCTAAGCTTTCAGAAAACACAGAACTCTCAAAAAGCTTAACAAATTGAAGAACTGTATTACCTTGAAAGCTTTGTAAAATGAGGCATCTAAAGCTTCTAAAATGTCTTCATCAGGACGCCACCAAAGCTTCCCTCTGCTTCCATGTCCAGCTTTATATGTTTCTAATGCAACCAAAATATGCAATGGATGTATTTTACCCTACAGGCAAAAGAAATCAAGAACAAGTTTCTTGAAAATCTGACCCCCTTTAAAAAAAGCAAACAGCAAAGTAGTAGCAAACTAAACAGGAAAATAAGGTTCTCCTACAAAAATATCTGGCTCAGTATACTATTACTTTAAATTTGTTAAATTTGAAGAGTTCATGAAGCCTTCACACAGCTGTTGTATGAACTGCTACTGGTGATGGACCTCACTGCCTTTCCAGAATCCTCCAATTAACACCAAATATTATACTATCACCAGAATTTTGGTAGAACTTTACATCTTTACGATTGTCATCACAGGTTTACAGTAAGAAAAAGCCCCTGTCCTGCTGAGGGGAAAGGAGCTGAGCTAGGAAAAGAACAAGCTTAAAATGAGTTTTATATCCAATACAGTAACACTGGACAAAGAAACTATTTTCAGAACACAGCATTCATTCCCCTCTTGCTATAAAACATTCCCAGCATTTTTTTCTTTTTTTTTGCTTTCCATACATACATTTGTTTCATGCTAAGCCACATCTTTGCTTTACTGAGTTATCAACATTTTGGTATTTTTTTCCTCAAGGGGAGTTTCAGTCATTAATCAGGGCCAGCAGTGATTAATCTGAATCGCTGTCTACTGCCTTTCTTCCACCAAGGTACTGCACCATCATCTTTGCTCTCCCTTCTCCAGTGCCTATGTGTGATTAAAGAAGAAGCCAGAGAAAGGGAAGAGCAGTGGGATGGGAAAAAAAAAAGGACCTATGTTGTTGTGCTCAAATCACCTTTGGTCTTGAATAATTTAAGGGTCCTTATTTTAATCTTCCCAACTCACAAAACTGCTTGTCCTTTTTATTTTCCATTAAATTCCTGGAAATTTTCTTCTCCCTTTGGGGAACCCTCTTTTCCCTCTTATTTTCTTACCCCTTTGATGGATAGGAAAGCAATCTGAGAGGATAAAGTCTCCTTTTCCCCTCAAGAGCTATGTTAGTTTCTTCTTTCACTTTCTAGGATCCTATACAAGTGACTTCATTCCCCTTTTAAGCTTGTATTGCTGATTCTAAATTACAAGACCCAGAAGGAATGCATGAACCCCAGAGCTAAAACTTGCCAGAGCCCTCATTTAAGAACAAACTACACAGTTCCTCCGAAGAACATCACTTTTATCTTGTAGAGGATGGCTGAAGAAACACAGTAAAGAAAGAGATTAAAACCCACAAGGGCTGCCATCGATTATGAAAAAGTTCTTACCTTTTTTAGCAATTTCTCATTTCTCAGTTTTTCACATACTATTGCCACTTCTGAACCTCGTGGTTCAAGCACTGCATTTGCTGTCAGCTTTCCTAAATTTCTCAACAATACAGAAATGGGCATCTCCTTCAGCAATGCCTTCCAAACCTATGGTCAAAGAAAGAGAAGGGTAAAAACAGAAAGACGAGATTCCCAAACTACAAGAACTGAAATCTGTACACTGAATAAGTGTATTTTAAAATAAATGTACAAGTTATACATTGAACTTTATTTAAACTAGCTCTTTGGGCAAACAACTTGAAAAACAGCATAAGGGCTATCTTTACAGAAATCTAGACTTAAGACTCTAAAAAGCATTACCCTAAAGAGAATCCAAAGCTAATGAAGTTCTCCTACCTCCTTAGATTTCAGGTGGTTTGTCAGGAGATGCTCTTTAACTAGACCATATTCCTCTATCAAATGAATAACTTCCAATTCATCTTTTGTGCGTTTTACTTTCTCCACGGCCTCCAGATACTTTAGGAGTTTTTCAGTCTCAGCAGAAACTGCTTTCTCTTTATAAGCTTCTTGGACATCTTTCCACCCCTTGGTAATATATTTAGTGACTACAGCAATTCCTGTTGAAAGAAAAAATTTTTTCCAGCAGGATTACCATCTGTATACTGGTGTTTATCATTCTCATGCAAATCACTCAGCAGGTTTCAATCTCAGATCTGCCAAACACCTATTAAAAAGGTCAGGCACACACAATTTAGAGCAGTACTTTTAATTACTGTATTATTCTCCTTAGATCTAAGGAGCCTCATATCTTTGCCAGGTTGCCCAGAGAAGCTGTAGATGCCCCACCCCTGGAATTGTTCAAGGCCAGGCTGGATGGAGCCCTGAGCAACCTGGTCACTTGGAAGGTGTCCCTGCCCCTGGCAGGGGGTTGAAACAAGATGATCTTTAAGGTCCCTTCCAACCCAAATCATTCTGTGATTCTATGACTTGAAACCAACAGATCTTAACAAATAACAAAAAAGTGTTATTTCATCATTTGTAAGCAAATAAAAACAAATTTAGGAAATTGTGCTACTTTATCTTCTCTTGACATATGGAAGGAAAAAAGAACTAACAAACTGTTTATCCTGAAGATAAACAGGTCAATTTCTGATACGAACACTCACATTTTTAATATGCAATTTACAAGATATCCTCACTAAGAATTCATCTGCAATGGTACTTGGGTTTCCAAAATAGTTCCACAATAAATATACAAGGTTTAAAACACAGTATTTTCAGGTAAATAAAAATTTATTACCTTCACTGGCAGGTTTTAGGTGGGACAACCTCAGAAGATCTTTATGAGACCAACCACTTCTTTGCTTATATTTTGTAACTGCTAAAGCAAGAGCCATGCCATTCTTTCCATTGTACCAATCTGCAACAGCTTTCCTCAGTGCACGGCCCCACATGCCACATTTCATGCCCTCCTTCAGATCTTTTTTAAACTGGATGAAAGTAAAGAGATGGGTTGGTACGCAACACACCTCAGGGACAGCTTTAAACGCCGCTTGTTTCGTTTTCACATCAGAGCACTGCGAGCAAACCGCGAGGGCAAAAAGCAGGGGCTCCTGCTTTGCCGCTCTGCCCTCTTGGCTAAATGCTTTAATTTCTTCAACAACTTCACAACCCCTGCCCTCTTCAATCAGCCTCAGTAAGGCTGCTGCATTCTCAAAGCCCAGCTTCTGCTCCCTGACGTGGTAGGCACCGCACTCTGAGCCGAAGCACAAGAAGTGCCGCAGTCGGTTGGTGTCGGTGACGTTCCACGCGTCACCGCCTTCGGAGCCGGGCACCTGCTTCTCACTCGGGAGCTGCGCTCGGCTCTCCTCGTCCTCCATGGTTTAGACTTCCAAGAGGTCTGCTGAAAGAATAATAAAGTTTATAAAGAAGACCCGATGGCTACTCTTTCATCACTTTTTAGCAAAGCAAACATATCTCGCCTACACATTTCCTTCATAAAATTAACCAGAGCACACTTTCAGTGTGCAATAATACACATCTTTGGTGGGGAGAAGAAACAAACAAAAAAATTCTCTGAGTTATAATGGTGACAAACTTATTTCCTTGAGACAAACTTAGAAGTTACACAAAAATATGTCTGGTGTTAAAGCCTTTTGCCACTAATAGATTACATCACTTTTTTACCTAGATTTTTGGATTGCAGACTAAACAGCTCAAAACTCACATCTTGCCCTACTCTATTTTGCTGAAGAATTGCTAATGCTGACCAACTGGAGAAAAATGAGGGTAAAATAAAGAACTAAATTAATTAAAAACTGTTTAGTCAGAAGATTTCATGAGAGTTCATATATGGTGGGTTTCAGTTAAGCTTAGACAACAGCTTTTTAACAATTGAGTACCTCAAGAACAAATTATCTTTGTTACAGCTCAAATAGTCTGCTGTTCCAAGTGAGATCCAAGAAAACTCAAGACATAACAAATTCTGTACCACTTTACAGCACAAAAATTCTCAGTCCTTCAGGTCTTTATACACTCCTGAGCTGCAAGAGAGTTCAACTGTAGTATTTGCAGGCAACATCACTGCTCCTACTTGGAGAACATCCAGCATGGCAAAATTCATGCCATGACATTTAAAATGAAGTAAATGCAGGTGAAATCAAATCAGCAGGGCAAGGGTAAGAAAATTCATCATCATCACTACCTCCAAAACATTAATAGCATAACAATAAATTTAGTTCTCTCGGTTCTCACCAAACAATAAAAAGACATTAAACAGCACCAAGAGCTCCTATTAAAAAAAAGGCAGCACCAATAATCCACTCCATCAAACCGTACACATCTTAAAATACACACAGACCAAAGTCTGAGAACAGACAAATGACATTTCCAAGAAATCCACTGAACAATTTTAAAGTATTGCAAATATCTGCTTTTGACATGCTCCTTCCGATATCAAAGATGAATAAAAGCATTCAGCCTCATTTACCAGGATAAGCTAGAATAAATAAATGTGACTAAAAGAGAAAGAGGGGTTTTCCCCCCCAGTTTAGGTAAGCACTTTGTTTACAAACAACTTCCCTCCTCTCTGACACAGAATTTCCCTTTCTCTGTAAGTGACTAGAAATGCACCTTTCCTGTTCTTCCTGTACAACACCTGCACTGATCTGCACCCAGAACCAAACAATAACCAGCAGCACTCCCATTACATTCTACAGACTGCTAAAATCATACAAACAGAAGCCATATGCTGACAACTGGTTTAAAAAAGCAGGTTTCAGTTAGAAATTAACTATCTTTCATTGCATCACTCTGAGCATCACTATTTTTCTTAGCGATTAAATGATATATTCTAACCATGTCTCCTTGCCAAACCTATTTAAATACAAATCATGGTTGAGCTGAGTTTTTCACTGACATCTGAGGCATGCAAATACACCGAAAATAACAAGGCTGGTCTTCTCAAGGCATGAATACCATATCAGTACCTTTTAATGTCTAGATCCATTTATTTCAATACAGTACATGGATACTGAAAAACACCATTATCTTTAAGAAAAATAAGAATGAGTAGCATAAAGGATCATGGTGAGTAATGAGATCTCCGTATATATGAAATATTGAGAATAATTTCTTGCTGTATGTTTCATACCCTTGCTAAAATAAATACTGCTACATTAAAATGAGACAAATGAGAAAACTCTTTTCAGTCACCTATGGATTATTGAGACTTAAAATGAACTGGAAGAACCATGTCTTCAGTTAAACCAAATGGCTCACTTTGCAGATTACATGAAGAAATGCCAGCACTACTTGGAATATTTTGGAGTTTTTCCCTTTATTTATCCATTTGTGCCCAGGTTCCATCTGGTATGACCACTTTATTTTAATTTTCACTTGGATAGTCTCATACACTCAGTTTTCTAGTCACTAATACAAATTAGCTGCTGTCGCCATCACCACCCTGAGGATGGGAACAAACCTAAAAATTATACCCTTTCTCAATTTAAAAATAATATTTATCTGATTTGAAATCTAGATTTCTTATAAAATACTGTGACACAAGATTGGTATTTCCATCAAATTTCCATCCATATCATCCCAAAAGGCAAACAGTTCACTTCTCTGCTGTTATATGTAAATATGCAGTATGATTTTAATTGCATTGTTTTAAAGAAGTTTAGAGCAAACCATCAGACAAAAATATTCTCCTGCTGCACTGCTCTATTAGACTGTGTAAGTAATCTAACTTATGCACGTTAATAAGGCATAGTTTTTATATTTACTTTTGTATGGACTAGGCTATTCATGGACTCAGCACTGAAAACAGTTTGTGTGCCTACATCCACAGACTTCTGACACAAACCCATAATAGAAAAGACAGCTGCAAACGTACACTCCTTCCTTTTCTGAAGCCACCTTTAGTTTTTCTGACACTTCACTCTTTAATTTGCCTTCTTAGGAACATCCTACGAGCTCCAGAACCAGATGCTGTTAGAACTTCCACCTTTTGCAGAGCTTCATTTTCACTCAGCTCTCAAAGTCATCTTCTCAGATAGAACACAGAATGTCACCAGAGTGAATTCCCTGCAGCACTTATCCCATTAAAAATGCCCACAGCAAGTCTTCTGAAACCTTTAATAAAGTTGTTAACGCTGATATGAAATCTAGGACACGAAACAAACTTGTCTCAAATGGCTTCTTGCTGCCTCAGGACTTTAAGAAGAGATTCAACCCAAAAAAATATTTTGGATCCTAATACAAACTGTAAATTCTTTAAAATAAATACCTATTTTAAAAACTACCTTTGAAATCTGCAATTTATACCACCACTAAACAGTCACACTAAAAGTATCAAACTGACCCTTAGCCAGGAACTACTTGAAAAGCTCTTACTCACAGCTGAGCTATTCAAGTCATGTTGGCCATTTCTAACCCTGTTTTATATTTTAACCTCCCAAGTTCCCAAAGCTATTCCCTCCCTCAGACCAGTCCCTCTCCTCTGCCCAGACCTCAGTCTTATTTTCTCCTTTAACACCTGCACAACAGACAAGTTTCACCCTCACAGATGGATTAACTGAAATACTCACTTAACTTTTGTTCTACCATAACCCAACTCTTCATCTGCTGAGCTGCAGCAGGAAACCTGAATTTCAAACACGCATGGAGGATTTATCAATGACATTTTGGCTCCATAAGCATTTTCAATTTTTTAGCTACTGGGATACAAGCGACAATGTGAAAAGCCTTAGAAGTCACAGACTAGGTCGTTTCACAACAAAAAGTGCTGAACTAAACTCCATGGTTGCTCACTGTAATTAAAGAAAGAGAAAAAATTCCATCTTCCAACCATCATATGAATTTGTAAATTAAATATGGCTTTGACTGCCCTGAAACAGTCTACACTGAAGTCTTGATTGGTTAGTCAGTATCTTTATGGTGCTGTACCATAGCATGATTGAGTTCGGTAAATTGACCTTTATTAATTTCTATGACTTTTACAATTTGCCACAAGATTTCCTAAGAAATAAAATGTCTTTAAGTACACGTTTCAGGTACATATGAAAAAAACCCATAAAGCACAAACGTTAAAAGAACTATAGATTCTAGCTTAAGTTCTTAAGTTTAACTGCCAGGTTAACAATGATGAACCAAACTTTGCTGAAAGACGACGGAATTAAGCTTTGAAAAAATCAGATGTAAAAAATGCACTGACATCTTAAAGGCAACACTTCAAATGGTCTTCCTATACTTCAAAAATACTTCCAAACCAAATATACTTCATTCCACAAGAAGCTGCACTCTCCCACTCTGCCCTCAATATTAAACTGAAGATCATACTGTCTTCTGATTTCATTGAGCAGAGAGACTAAAACCATCAGAACAAATTATGTTGGCAACAAAACAGGCCTGTGCTACAGCACATAGTCCCCATACTTCTGAAAATAAGCACTTCTACGTCAACTGGAACTCCAGGAGAACACTTCCCAAATCACGAACGGAGCGATGTGCGATGGCAGCACCGCAGATACCAGCGTACAAGAATCGCACACCCGCTCACACACTGCTACTGCACGATTTGCAAGAGTCTGCCTGCTTAAAAAAAAACCAGACTGCTCTGACTCGGGGGGGGCAAAGGCAGCTTAGCTTACGCAGAAGAGAATTACGAGGCAGGAGCACCTAAAGCCGATAGCGGAGCGCAGCTGTCAGTCTCTGCAAAGGCGATAAACACGCGTGACGGGCGAGCTGCGGAACCGCGGGACACGCCCGGCGATGCCCCGCGGCTCTCCCCTCGCCCCGGTGCCGCCGGGGGTGCCCCCCTGGCCTCCCCGCACTCCGGCACCGTCCCTGGGGCCCCCCGGGGCTGGCACGGGGAGCCCGCGCCCCGCTCCCCCCGCACCCCGGGACGCGCCACTTGCCTGCGCGGCCGCGGCCCGGGCGGAGCCGCAGCGCCGGGGCCCGCGGGGCGACGGGCGGGGGACGCTCCGGGCACACCGAGCGGCGGCGGGGCCGCTCCGGGCGCGGAGGGCGGGCAGGGCTGTCCCGCTGCGGCCGCCGGAGCTCCGCGACTCCCGCACCGGCCCCGCCCGCCGCGCCCCGAGAGCATCGCCGGGACCCGGATGGGGCCGCGCCCCCCGCGCGGTGCCCGGATGGAGCCGCGCTCGGGGCCGGCCCCGCTCCCCGCCGGGGCGCCCGCGGCTCCCGCACCCCCCGCCCTCCCCGCAGCCGCCCCGCAGCGGCCCCGCGGGGCGCGGCGCGGTCCTCCCGCGGCCGGGGCGGTGCCGGAGCCGCCGCCGGCGGCTGCCCCGGATCCAGTCGCGGGCGCCGCTTCCTGCGGCCGCCCCGCCTCTCCATGGCGCTGCCCGGCGCGGGTCCTGCCGGGAAGGGAAGCGAAGGGAAGGGAGCGGCGCGGGGCGGCAGCGCGGCCTGAGCGGCGGCAGCGCCGCCATGTCCGGGGGCAGCAGCGCCGGCGAGTGGTGCCTCATGGAGAGCGACCCGGGCGTCTTCACCGAACTCATCAAGGGCTTCGGTGAGGGCGGCGGCGGGGGCTCTGCGGGGCCGTTCCCGCGCGGGTCGCTGCGGCAGCGGTGCCCCGGTGAGGGCTGCGGGGCGGGAGCGCTGCCGGCGCGGGTGGGGACGAGCCGTCTGTTGTGACCTCGGGCCGCTGTCCCGTCCCCGGCAGCGCCCGCGGGCGGCGGAGCCCCGAGCCCAGCGCGGGCTGTGCGGCCCTGCCCCACGGCCCCACGGCCCGTGTTGCGCTGCCGGCGGGGAGCGCGGTGAGGACGCGCCCCGTGGGGTCACCGAGGCAATTAGGCGTGACAAGACCGTCGAGTCCAGCCTGTGCCCGAACGGCACTCTCTGAACCAGACCGGTCTTTCCTTAAGCGCCTCCAGAGGCGGTGGAATCCACCACCTGCCTGGGCAGTCTCATTCCAACGGGGAAACACCCTTTCTGTGAATAAATCGCTCCTGACGTCCAACCTGAACGTCCCCTGGTGCAGCTTAAGAGCGGCCTCTCGATTTGTCGCCAGTGTCCTGGAAGAAGGGGAGAACAAGCCCCCCAGGCTGAACTGTGGGGCTTGGCATTGGGCTGGGGAGTCTGCAAGGGACTTTTAAGTGCAGTTCAACGTAAAATTTAGTATTCTAGAAGTCCCAAGTCTGCAAGGGACTTGCAGACTTGGGACTTGGGCTTCTAGAATACTAAATTTTACGTTGAACTGTGCTTAAAATCTTTGGTGATACTGTGAGTATGTGGTTATAGTGACAGCTAAGCCTACACAGGATTTGGCAGAGAAGCAAAATGGTTTTATGTTGGGTTACGTTGATTCATACTTTCTGCCATGTCTTTTTCTCACAGGTCCAGACATGCTTCTGCTTTTCTGTTTTTATTTAATCTGTAGATTAATCTTCCACGTGCTAAGTGTTGAACCTTTAGGGCTCTGTCTTACGCAAATGTCTTGCTTGAGTGTATCATTGACAGTATTTTGAGTCTACTACCGTGGGTCTTTTCCTGGAGTTTTTGAGTTCTGCTTTGGACTTGCTCTAAAAACAGTGTTGTTTTCAGTTGAGTGGAGGACATGAGATGGCCAAAGACATTTTAATCTCTCCTTCTTTCTTAAATGCAAAGCCCATAAATAGACTTATCTATAAATTGGACTTACAAGTTGTAAGTGTTACAAATGTCTTTATGTGTGTTCTTTCATATGTCTTTCTTTACTGGCTCTATCCCTTTTAAATGGGTTAATGGAACAAACCTCTGTTTTTCCTTGTTTCAGGCTGTAGGGGAGCACAAGTCGAAGAAATTTGGAGTTTGGAACCAGAGAACTTTGAAAAACTGAAGTAAGACACATGTTTTTTATTCACATTCTTCTGAAGTCACTGAAAGAATGTGTACTAAACTCAGGTGTGGTTTTGGTGGCTTTTTTGTTTGGGGCCTTTTGAATTTGGTTTTTCTCCTTCAGTTTCCACAGAAGTTTATTAGGATTTTGATTTAACGGAATACCTGAGTTTTAAATCGCTTTTTATTGATGCCTTGATATTTAATCTGGGGTTTGAGAGAGATGCTAATAGCAGCTAGAATGTGGAAATAGATTTCTAATGATTTTACCCTTAGCTTGTATTATATCTTTTAACAAATTCTTTGACAAATTTCTGTTCCTTGCTTTTATTTTCCTTACGTCCTCACGTGACAATATTGCATCTGTTGTCTATAATAAATTACTTTACTGTACTTACGTACCTTTGTAACTTGTTTTTCCTACAGAACCACTTCCATACATATGGGAAGGCAAATAGCCTTGTTACTGGTGTCACATGGAACAGTTCTGTTCTCATTAGACAACATTAATTCTTTTACCATTTTGTCCATGATACACTTAAAGTACCTTTTTTCTATCAATTTTGTTTTTCAGGCCGGTACATGGGCTAATTTTTCTCTTCAAGTGGCAGCCTGGAGAGGAACCAGCAGGTTCTGTTGTTCAGGATTCCAGACTGGATACAATATTTTTTGCTAAGCAGGTATGGCAAGTTTGGTAATTTTCTTATATGTGTCATGAGTCACAGCTTTTAATACTGAAAAATAAGCCACCTTTTGGTTAATATGAACACAAAAATTAACACTTTAGAAGGTGAAATGACTTCAGCAAATTCTGAGGTTCAGTACACAACTGTGTATTGAAAGGTGATTAACAAAGCAAATCAGTTTGATCTATTAAGTCATGGAAGAATAAAGCTCATATATTTTTGTCAGACCACAGATTAACTTCCTCTTCTGTGCAATAAATAATGACTTGGTAAATGTTCTCAGCAGAATGAGCCAATTACTTTTTTGAAACCACTTTCAACAACTTCTTGGAAGAAATGTTTATTTTGGCCCTGTTTTTATTTCTTGTGTTTCTCAAATGCTCTGCAGCTGGGAAAGTATAGCTCTAGGATAATAGTGTCCTTTAAGGGTTTGCAGACCGTTTTGGGATGCAAGTTTTAAGTATGTAAATCAGGAAGGTGAGTTTAAATTTGAAATTACAGGCAAAATTGTTTTTGCTGATGTAAGCCATTGTATTTTATTAAATACCAAATAGTATACTGAAATTGTGTGTTAACACTGACAGACTGCTGCGTGTGTGTTGTTTGCAAGGAAGAAAAGCAAGAAAAAGTAACCAGAATGAAAGCAGGAGTATTTAATAAATGTTTTTAGATCTTTTGCAAGACCTGCTTATGAAACAGTGATAAGTGTAAGTCTAAACAGGAAACATAATCCTCTGTTATATACAAAGCATTCATACCAAAGGGCAAAATATTAGGCTTTCTATGAAGAATATTACATAGACTAGTTGCTGGTTTGTTTTTTTTTTCTCCTTTGGTTGGGGTTTTTTCTTGTTTTATTTCCCACCACAAATGCAGAAGTGTTTTGTGTGTAAATTTCAGGGTATAAAAAATCTCCACACATGTGCAGCTAAAAGTATAGAAGTAGGGAAAACAGTGGAAATAGCTGTCCTGGCCACTCTGTACCTGTGCTTCTGTTGTATTTTATAATCACCTTACTGTTTCGTGCTGTTATGGATGACTTCATTCCTTGGTCTTTTTTAATCCTGATTTTCTTCATTGTTCCTCTGCTGCAGCTCTTGAGTCCTACCAAGCACTGCCCACTGTATTTATGATAGAGTGACCAGCAGTGGTTTGTCAAATGTCTTCTATAGTTTCATGGCTCTGATAGACAGTGGTTTAGGTTGGGACTTCTACCTAATCAAACATACTGCTGGTGATCATAGGCTGTGGCTACAGAACAGCCATAATGCAAAGAACCCCAGGAAAATCCTTGATGTAACTCTCAAAGGGTAGTTACATGGCAGGAGGAAATTACTCTGATATGAACCTAGAGAAGGTTTGTTTGGGTTTGGGTTGTTTGGGTTTTTTTCTCAAGGTGAAGGTAAATTTTCCCTCACTCAAGGGACTTCATCTTGTTTCCTGTTGGTAGTTGAGGGTCTGCCAGAACTGCTGTTCTTGTGAATGCTGAAAACTTTCAAAGCATTTGTCTGCTTGCTCTGCTTCTTTTGCCCTTTCCCCCCCTTCACTTCCCTTTTTGAAGCTTGACACTAAGCTAAGAGGAACCTCCTTGAGCTTTGAGATTGCAGACTTCATATAAAAAAATTTGGATAATGGTAGATTTGAGAACAAAACCCACAAAGTTAAAGGCTAACAGTGAAAAGTCTTCTTTATTTTGTAGCTTTCTTTGAAACACTCATACTTTAATGTTTTCTTAAGCCTGAATCCTCTTTGTGAAGGTGTAGGAACTTTGTAATGTTCTGCTTCCTTCACCTGCTGCCTTTAAGGAGGATGTGCTGGAGTGACTCCTAATTTTAGCAGGAAAGCAATTTCTAGAAATGTTGACTCTTAAAATAGTAGTATCTGTTTGGACCACTTGATGGCATGGAATAGATGTTTTCAAAGGTAATTTGCAAAAAGTTTAAAATTAGTACCTTTGTCGTGTTTTAGTGTTGTCTGTCAGTCAAGTGCAGTGGCTTAGCAAAATCAGGACATTTTCTTATAGACATACATATGCTTTTTGGTTTATATCAGTTCACTTTGGTCTGGACTGATACCTCGTGTCTGAACAAATAATGAAATAGCTATGAAGAAATTAGTATTAAAAGTCAACAGATAAGTGAAAGAAACTGCTTTGGATGTTTTGGAGGGAGCTGTAATACCAGGTTAGCTCTGGTGACTTTCACATCGAAGAAGGTTAGCCTTGGTTAGAGATTAAACTTGGCAAGCAGTGTTTTGAGGACCTGTAGTGTTTTCTTGAGCAACTGTCTGATGTTATGATGATGAGAGCAGGATGCCTTGGTCCTCTCAGCCTGTCTCCTTT